AACAAAAGATCATCGGAAAATCAATTTTTATGTTATAAATTTTATAATAAATCATAAGAAAATACAAACTTTAAAGATCAATACTGCAAAATTTTATTAATACAACTACTTTTGTGACTTAAGTAAAAAATGATCTAAATTGATTTATATAAAAAAATATCTTTTGAAAAAATGGCCAATTTGGTCCCTTTTTGCAGCACCAAGCCCATATATGCTTATTTGATACATTTTATGATTGGTCACACCCCAGTGGCAAATGGAAGGGGTTGATCCCAAAATTTAATAAAAATTAGAACTCGGAATTACTTATTACCAATAATTGATTATACTACAAATGTACTACGTAGTCACATTGTATCACTATGGGTGGGGAGAGATTGATGTAACCAAAACGAAAGTCGGGTTTGCAGAAAAGACAAATGTTGATCATACGTATTTTACTTACTAATATGCAATGATCCGATTACCTCATACTTACTAATAATACTAAGCTATCTCTTTGTCATAAATTGCGCTACTAATCACTGAATTACTTCGTACTTAGATGTGACCATAACCAGACCTGTGTTCGATCGGTGGGTTTGAACGTATTATAATATTTTTTTACCCTATCATCTAAACCAAAATTTCTGTTTTGGGATTCCCCGAACCTTTTCCCCAAATTTTTGTTCAACCACGCTCGTATTTTAAGTCTGTTCACTGTCTAGATCGGAAATTCTCGGTCGTTACCAACTTTATAATTACTTTTACTAGAAATTTTTTTTACTATGAATGAGAGGGGATGGTTTGAAGGGGGTAATGTAAAACAGAGAATCAAATTGGTCTGGCCTTAGCTATGCAACATTATGCCATTATAGTTAACGTATTATATCTTTCATTCGTCATTTATCTATAAATACTATCGGTAATTATTCGCCCGCGGGTATTACTGGATTATTGGTAGGGTTTATCAATTCCGATTCATTCCGTCCCAGAATAAGTCAATCTGCTGAATTTTGGAAACACGACCAATCTATTCCGATTTACGAGTTACCTTAAGCACGGACATTTGTACGTGCCTAACTACTAGTTCTTAAAACGTACAGTACTGTAAACATATAATTTAGTTAGCCGGGCACACTAGCGAATCAGGCAATTTCTTCCTTTGTTTGTTGGTGAAATAATACAAATCTGATTCTATTTAGGGTCCAATTCAGTGTTGAAAATTCGTTGTTCATGAACAGTGAATAAAATTCGACGTGCGCACGTGCGCTCCGCACATAGAAATTGTTTTTGCGCACAAAAAAAATATAAATGCTGTGCGCAAAGCGCACGCAACTTTTTTAATAATTATTTAAAATAATGTGCGCTATACAGTTATCCTTGATATATTGTATCGAACTTTGCGCACATTGAATCTAAAATTTGGTGCGCAACACGCACCAAATTTTGACTTTGAATTTTATTCACTGTTCATGAATTGTTTTTTGCACAAAAAAATAAAATAACATTCACGTATAAAAAAATTTTTTGCACAGCATATTTGTGCCGAATTTTCAACACTGGTCCAATTTAGCTGATTAGCCCATATCGATATAAGAACTCGTATAATATCGTTTAATCTCATTAACCAATCAAACCACAAAATGGTTGCTCTAAACGCATATATACACGAATACTACAACGTGCAGAACTCCTATTTTTTTAAATATATACTGTATATGTATTAGATTTCCAATTAATTTTATTCTATATTATCAAACGAGTCTCTATCAATTTCCCGACAGCCACTTATCGACAAACAGAATCTCGACAAAAATCTAACCCTAACTCTAACCTACCTGTCGGGATTTTGACATTCTCGGGAAAGCGGTTGTCGAGCAATCTTGAAACATTATTAAACAAATAAGGTGAATCAATGAATATCGGGTACATACCAGGAGACAAGTTTCCTGATATGCACCGATAGTCTGCAGCATATTGGTTAGTGAGATATCGATCTACCTCCGGTATCTCACTAATGCGCTCCCGATATACTGATGACATATAGCAGACTATTGGTACATATCAGGAAACTTGTCTCCCGGTATGTACCCGATATTAATTGATTCGACCTGAAATGCGGGAGAAAAATTTTGGTCTAATCTTATTTCACTTTAGAAACGAAACTCACCAAGCTAGATTTAAATTCAGACCGTGTAAATAAACTTTTTAACATTCACATTAACAATTTCAAGTATTAGTAGATGATATATTTAAATGGGTTAAATTAAATACAATATTAATAAATGATGATATATTAAATATATAAATAAGACGCAAATTTGGCACGATTTAACATGAATACTGTATGTAGTATAGTGTGCTTAAAATTTTTCTGATGAAAATTCTTATAAAAAGGTAATGAGTGAAGCCAATTTTCAATAATTAAAAAATAACTTACCTCAGCTATATATCCCAAATATCATATAACCTATAAAACCAAATAATGAATAGAATTTTAATTTTTACATTTATTTTATTGATTGCACTTTCCGTTATCAATGCTATTCCACTTGAGAAAAGATTCTGAGTGATGGAAATCGTGTAGATTTAATCAGAGCAAGAATTTCTCCTGATCCTGTGACTCCCGGACAAAATGTTACTTTCGAAGTTTCCGGGATTCTAAGTGATGATATTACGGATAGCGGAATGATTTTAATTCAGTTTAGTTATGAAGATGGATCTCTCATAGGACATGGTAATGGCTTTCCTGCTCCTCAAACCAAAGCAGGAAGTATATTTAATACAAATCCCACATTTGAGGCACCAGCTAATTTACCAAGCAAATACGCTATTATAGTTTTTGTTGTAGGTAATTCGTCCGATCCATCAAATAAAGTTATAGGTTGTGTAGCAACAGTAGTTGGTGATGGTGATAATACTCCTAATGAAACTTCAATTGATAGCG